TGTATAATGGTCAAATAATACGAAAATTATATAAGTAAACTTTTCTATACATTGATGGTTAATCATGTTTAATCAAATTAGTAGTTAGAGCCACGATAGATTAACCTTCCCAGTTGTGAAAGGCCCCGTTTGGTAGAGTTGTGGAAAAGTGATTATAACTTATAGCCTAACAGCTTATAGCTTATAGCTGTGAACATAAGCTGATTTTTTACTTATAAATTAAGCTTCTCCTCCCCCACTCAAAGAATAAGTTGATTTTTGACTTACAAAAAGCTATAAGTTGTATTGTTAAGCTGAACCAAACACATCAAAATAGGTTAAATTAAGCTAAAAGCTGAAATAAGCTAGAAATAAGCCCTACCAAACAGGTCCAAAGTCTCACCCCGAGTTGATTATGAGCTTGAGTCGATTATGAGTTTAATGTACTACAATGGTACGATGATATGAATAGTCAACTAGTCCTTTTGTTTTGAGGACAACGTGATCCAATTTGTGTGTACTTCGGATTGTCATCGTTTTATGGTTGGGAGTAGAGGTTGACTTGGTTCTTGATTGACATTTTTCATTTTATGTTACGATAGTCACCAGTGATTGCGAGGTATGGACATTACGAATTTCTTGTTATGCCTTTCGGAGTTACTAATGCACATGTTGCATTTATGGACCTTATGAACAGAATTTTTAAACCGTTCCTCAATGAATTTGTAGTTGTATTCATAGATGACATTCTGATTTATTCCAAAGGTAGAGAAGAACATGAACATCATTTGAGAATTGCTTTGTAGACCCTAAGAGAACAGAAACTGTATGCTAAACTGACTAAATGTGAATTTTGGCTTGACAATGTTTTGTTTTTGGGGCATGTAATCAGTAAAGATGGAATTTCAGTTGACCCACAGAAAATTGAAGCAGTAGTGAACTGGCCTAGACCGACAAATGTCACCGAAGTCTGGAGTTTTCTAGGCTTAGCCAGGTATTACAGAAGGTTTGTCAAAGATTTCTCCAAAATTGCCCTACCACGGACACAGTTGACTCAGATGGGAAGATCATTTGACTGGACCGATTAAAGGGAATCAGCTTTTCAAGAGTTGAAAACCCGACTAGTGACTGCACCGATTCTCACCTTATCCTCAGGTACAGATAGTTATACTGTATTTAGTGATGCTTCTCATAAGGGTTTGGGGTGTGTTTTAATGCAGAATGGGAAAGTGATTGCGTATGCTTCCCGACAACTGAGACCACATGAGAAGAACTACCCGGCCCATGATTTGGAACTTGCTGCAGTGGTGTTTGCACTAAAAAATTGGTGTCACTACCTTTATGGGGCGATATGTGAAGTATACATAGACCACAAAAGTTTAAAGTATTTCTTCACACAGAAAGAACTAAACATGAGGCAGCGGAGATGGTTAGAACTGATTAAAGATTATGATTTGCAAATTTTGTACCATTCCGGGAAAGCTAATACCGTTGCCGATGCATTGAGTCGAAAATTGATTGGAAATTTAGCCTGTTTAATCATCGGACAGAAAGAGTTGCTATGTGACCTTGAAAAATTTGAAGTTGAGATTGTTTTGCGTGAACAAGGTGGAACAATAGCGGCTATTTCTGCTCAACCGACACTGATTGAAGAGATTAAAGAGAAATAGTAACAGGATGACTTCTTGAAGAAGATCATCGAAGAACGGGAATCCAAACCGAAGCCAGATTTCAAATTTGAAAGTAATGTGTTGTAATTTCAAGAAAGATTATGTGTACCGAATGATTCTGAATTGAAAAGAAGAATTTTGCAAGAGGGCCACAATTCGAAACTGTCTATCCACTCAGGAAATACAAAAATGTATCAAGACTTGAAATTGAATTTCTGGTGGCCGGGAATGAAGAAAGAAATTGCTGATTTTGTGTTGAAATGTCTTCATTGCCAACAAGTTAAAGCCGAACATCAACGACCCGCAGGTTTATTGCAACCCTTACCGATACCGGAGTGGAAATGGGAACATATTACCATGGATTTTATTGTTGGTTTACCTCGCTCCAGTAAAGGTATGGATTCAATTTGGGTTATTGTTGATAGATTGACTAAATCTGCTCATTTCTTACCTGTCAAAACAATTTATAATGCGGACAAATTGGCTATACTCTATATTGATGAAATTGTGAGATTGCATAGAGTGCCTGTATCCATTGTTTCTGATAGGGACTCGAAGTTTACATCGAGATTCTGGCAAAGTTTGCAGACAGCATTAGGTACTGAACTGAGCCTGAGTAGTGCCTACCATCCTCAGACAGATGGCCAGTCAGAGAGAACCATCCAGACTCTAGAGGATTTACTGTGGAAGTGTGTTATTGATTTCCATGGAAATTGAGAAAGTCATCTACCGTTGGCTGAATTCGCCTACAACAACAGTTTCCATTCAAGTATTGGTATGGCGCCTTTCGAGGCTTTATATGGCAGGAAATGTCGATCTCCGGTTTGCTGGGCAGAAGTTGGAGATGGGCCTTTGTTTGGGCCCAAAATTGTACAAGAAACTACCGAAAAAGTGAAACTGATCCAATAGAGATTGAAAACCGCACAAAGACGATAGAAAAGTTATGCGGATGTCCGAAGGCGAGACAGAGAATATGAAGTGGGTGATCATGTTTTTGTAAAAGTGACACCGATGACGGGCCAGACCCGTTTTGGGGTTAAAGGCAAGTTAGCGCCGAGATATGTCGGACCATATGAGATTATTGAGAAAATTAATCCGGTGGCGTATCAAGTAGCGTTTCCTCCTGAAATGGAGCATATGCATAATGTGTTCCATATTTCTATTTTGAGGGAATACCTTCGAGATCCCTTCCACGTGATTGAGCCTACCCGTGTAGTGCTAAGTGATGACTACACTTATGAAGAACGACCTATTCAGATTGTGAACAGACGGATTAAGAAGTTGAGAAACAAAGAGATTCCGTTAGTGAAAATTGATTGGCAAAACCATGGTGGCGTGTATGCCACTTGGGAAAGGGAAGATGATATGATGAAGAGATATCCTGAATTGTTCTCACTGAATCCTGTTTTCTTCCAGGATGAAGGTAATTCGAGTTTGGAGGACCAAACTCTTTATAAGGAGGGGAGACTATAACAACCCTCAGCACTGTTTACTGATAACACTACTGATTAGTGCTAATCTATGATTAAGCATGTTAATTGACTGACTGACTGAATTACTAAACTGATTGATTGATTGTGCTAGTTTGAATGCAATTCTATTGGTTGACTGTTAAATTATCTGTTCATGTTTTATGCTTTAAACTGCAAATTGAAGGCCTTATCGGCGGCCGAACCAGAAATTGATTAATGTTTTATGCTAAGTGGAATTTATGTGATTTTATGGTATATTTAATTGAAATGTGATTGGGTATGATTAAATTAGATTTAATAATAATAAATTACAAGAGTTGGACTTATCTACAAATTTGCCACCTAGTGGAGTAATCTAGGCTAACCTCTCTTCACCTTATACACTTTTGATACAACATTTCCCTCAACCTTTTTGAGAGCAAAACCGAATGAGAGAGAGAGGAGTAGAGAAACTTCGCTTCATCTAGAGAATTGCTTAGAGAATTGGTAGATTTGAAGGATAATTTGCATAATTGGGCTCCCATATCTTGCATTCAAGACCTAAGGTAGGACATTTACCTTCTTGTTTATGAATTCAAGTTAGTTCTTGCAAGGTTCTTGATTTATGGATGAATTGAGTCTTAATTTAGTCTAATAATGTTGAATTGGAGCTTAATCCATGCATGCATGTGCATGGTCTTACATTTTGAGGTTGTTCTTCATGAAATTCCATATGCATGTTCATATCTTGAGCTTAGTCCATGAATTCATTGTATGTTCATATCTTGAGCTTTATTTCATAGTTAAATGTTCACCTTGATATAGTTTTTCATTTTATGTATTTATAATTTATCTCTGAAATAAAAAAATAATAAATCACAAGCAATTGGTGACAGCTCACCTCTGGCAAGAAATTACTTAGTAGTCTTATAACAATGTTCCACATTATTAATGTTGTAATACTTATCCCGTTATCTACAAAAACAAACATAAAAATGTAACTCACTGTTTAAATTAATAAAAATCAAGTTGGCAATAATTATCACTAATAATTTTTGATAATGCATTTTTAATCCCTCTTATAGGATGAACTTGAATTAGTTGAGTTGAGTTGAGTTAGCAATCCAATAAGCTCCACATAAAGCTTGTTTGATTGTAACAATTAGATTCACAATCCAATCTTATTTTACAAAAACAGAACCATGTTTTATGTAGTGAAGACTTTTATGTAAACATAATTAAATATAATTATGGGGAAATAACATTATAGTGTTTATGAAAAAAAAATAATATTTTAATTATTAAAGTGTTTAAACTTTAACACTGATTTGTAATTTTTTTTCTGCTGTGATGTTATTTTCCCTCAAATTAATCTTACATCTAATTTAATTCAAATTTTAAATGGAGAACGAAACAACCAATAGGAGAGTGGTGTCGGCCATCATTGGGAGAGGAATGAGTAGATTCTCATACCATCCCGCGCCATCAATCCAAAAGATAACATGATAAAATAAATGACTAAAGAACGAAAATATAATCAATGAGTTATTTATTATATTTCCAAATTTTTTGAACTTATTCTTTCAAATTCAAATAATTTTGAACTTTTTCAAACTCATTATATTCAAATCGTGTGTTTTTTTTATTTTTTTTTTTAAAAAAAAATCAACTTTGAATGATGTTTTCAAAACACGGCTATAAAAGTTTTTAGTAAAATCATGTTTTCAAAACAAAACTTCACAAAAAATTATGAATTTATTAAATAAGTTCAAAATAAATAATATAGATTTGAGAAATATAAGTTGTGTTTTGGTTCATGAGTTTGGAGAGAGATTTGGAAAGAAAAATATATATATATATGTGAAACAAAGTAAAAAGTAGATATATCTTATTCACATTTGACCAACCTTTTTAAATCTCTTCTCAAATCTATAAATCAAACACAGTCTATGTACCAAAAGCCGTTTTTGCTTGCTAGTAATAGTATGCATGACGGAGTCAACTTTTTTTTTTTTTAGAGCCAAAACATTTTCCTACAAGCCAAACAAATAACAAGCAAGCAAAATATCTGGAGCAAATTCAATCAGCTCACTAAACAAATACATGAAAAGCCTTCAATGTCACAAGGATGGTTTTGTGATAGTGTTGTACTGGTCCTCTCAAGCAACCTATATACTAAAAGTAGTCAAAAAACAGGGAAAAAGAATGCAGTGCACAAGAAATTCACCTAAATTATGGAAAACTAACAAATTTAAGACGCAACATGAATATCAATAACCTCTTGGTGAAGACATTGTACCATTTAGAACTTCATATGTGTACGTCATACAGCTTCACCACTTCTTTTTATCCTTGTATGAGGTGTGGAAAGGCCAATTTCAATGCCAACCGTTGTACTGCATGCACATTGCAGAAAGTGTTTGAGCATCATGGTTTCCTGCACTAGTAAGCAAGAGATAAAGATACAACGGCAGAGGTTGGCATCCTAATGGCGTCCAGTCTAAACTAACGTCATATAGAGCAATATAATGGGATGACCATTGCACCATTTTTCTCAGAATGCTTTCACGAGTCCAAAATACAAGTTCACCAGAAGCCTCCAAGACCGTGATATTTAAATTTGCACGTCCAAAAAACTATTAAAAAAAATTGGGTAAAATGAATTAGAGGGAACTGAAGCGACGGTCAATTTATTCATAATAGTGCAAGTAAAATTTTTTACCTTGACATCAAAATGGTTTCTCCTTCAGTACAGAATCTGGCTTCCATGTTTCTAAAAGCCTCACTGAGAGCATTCGATTGAGGCTATAAGCACAACAGGGAGCATTTACATACTGTAGAAAGTGCGGCAAAGCCTTAGATTTCTGATCTACTGCCCGATGCAAATACATGAAATTCTTGTCAAAAAGTAAGAAACTTAAAGAAAAGAGTAATGCTAGGGATACCAAATTTTCTACCAAACAAATGACCAAATGTCTCACATGGGTGTGGGGTCCGCAATTTTGTGGGCCACACACCCATATGAGACATTTGGTCATTTATTTGGTAGAAAATTTGGGACCTCTAGCATTTTCCTAAAGAAAAATATGAAAATGGGTAAAAGAATAGAGTACAATCATTATTCTTAATAGTTTCAGTTAGATTTAAACATTAAAATGCTATAAATAAGAGTAACATCAAAATGCTATCTATTTCTCTTGGAACTTGTCAAATCTATGTTTGATGTGCTTTGATTTCTTGAGCATAATCCCTTAGCTGTTTAGACACTTTAAACAAAGAAAAAAGGTAAATAATAAAGGTCTTAGAGAAAGCATTCTTTTTATGCAACTGTTATAATACTTTGGCCAAAAGGCCAATACCATGCTTCATAACTCCAAAAAAAAAAAAAGGACAAACCCAAAGAATAAAGGAGACTGGAAACTTACCAAAAAAACAGAGATATGAGCATTATATAAATAATCTAAAATCATTAGGTTCTAGAAATTACCCAAAAAATGAGCTTCAACCTCTTGAATTTTCCTTGTGTAATACATGCTATTGAGTATCTTTGTTGGCACTTCTCTCTTTTCAATAGAATATATCCACATTGCCGAGTACAAAATACTTGGAAGTGTAAGAACAGATGTGGTGCATGCACATCAAACACACACCTAGTTGGTGACTTGATCAAGTCTTGTCATCAATTCAACATGAAAGAAAACAGTGTTTTGTGTGAGTTTGTCATAAATCTCACAATCCACATTGGCACAGTATGACAGAATACCATTTGAATATGCATTTTTTTTCATTCACAAACGAGTTCATAAAACACTATTATACAAGTCTACGGAACATTCTTATCCTTCAACCTGCTATAGGGACATAATATCTGAAGCAGTAGAAGAAGTAAAGCAAACAAATTCTGCAAACAAGTCAATGCTGTTCAATGAGAAAAGGATAGCACAAAAATAAGGAAATAACTGATCCCCTTGATGACTAATGTATTGATATGAAAACACAATCAATCCTCACAGCCACAACCAAAATTTGCAGCACTAAGAAATTCTTGTCATGCAAAGAAATTTAAGCTATTTTAAACCCAATTAGGAGAGCCAAGTCAATGTCAAAGACGGTAAATTCCAGAAAGGAATTGTTATATCCCAAATAGCAATATCCCACACCTGAAGTGAACCCATAGATCTAGTCAGATAGGTCAATCACATGTTGAAAACCACAAGGCTCCATTTGGATACAAAGATTTGAAATGAATGAATTTGGTGTCACTCATTCAAGGAGTATAACATTTAATTCAATGTAATATTTTAGTTATGAGTTTCAAGAATGGATTTGAGAGTTTTAGATTAATGAATTTGAAACAAGTGAATACGGTTATTTGAAATCCTGCCATAAATGATTCTACTTGTACAAAAATATTAACAAAATGCATATTTCCAATCTCTATGCATACTTCACTTTAGAACGAATAATATATATCCATTAATCAAGCTTCTTACAATTTCATAGAATTGAACATCAAATTGCCTCCTTTCAAATTTATGTATCCAAATGGAGCCTAAGTGTCTTTAATTGAATGAATTCTCAATATTCTTTCACTCCAGAATTGTTTACAGATTTCCTGATAGCAACCTTCAAAGTGTCATTCGATAAAATAAAATCACAAAAAGTCAAGGAAAGGGCTAAAGCAATTGGCCTACCTTCAGAAGACTTGATATAATACTCTCCCGAGACATACGTCTGCTGTTGGGGCATCAGCAATGGATCATGTTAACCAGATAGGATGAAGCTCTCAGATACAGAGACAGACCACAAAAAAAGTTTTACTAATTTTTTTTTATTATGTGCCTTCTTTCATTATGATTTATATGAACTAATTGTGCAAGGAGAAAACCAACACAAATGTTATCTCCTACAATTCATCTAACAGTAACCATTTGATACACTATGAAATGAGCTGGTAGTAGAAGTATTACAGGATTATCATTTAAACATAGCGCAGGAATGAGGTAAGACACATACCAAGAGCATATTGGAAGTTTATGGAAAATATTGAAAATTATGGAAAGTTCATATTAACTGGAGAAGGATATATCCCAAGTACTTAGGATTATCGTAACTACTTTATTTTCAGTTAAGTTGACATAAACTACTTTCTTTTTTTGATGAACAATAACTGTTCACTCCAATTATCAGAAGGCCCCAATAGATATGCAGAAATAGATGACATTGCAAAAATAATAGACACTAGATTTAGTGAGCTACACATTTCCTTTTTTGATGCGCCATCCTCACTAAGAAACAATTTCACAAACTCATTTTCATTTCTGGTTTGCAAACTAATAATTATGTGCATAAGCTCTGCCCCAAAACAAAGTTAGGAAGCCTGTCGGTCAAACATTATTAATTTAGTCAACAAATTAGAACTATTCTAAACTAACAACAGACCACCCAAAATAGCACAGTCAACACCTAGCATTGAGACGAAAACAACAATACTCCCTCTATTCATCCATATTAATATCCATTACATATTAAACTACTCACAGCAATCAACCAAAATGTGCCCCTACATGATCGGCAATGGTCGGTACAAATGAAAAGTAAAGAAATTAGATATCTTTATATTTCCATAATCCCCTTTCCTCTTTACATAATTCAGTGCATTATACCTCCAATTGAGGCCTCAATGTAGCAGGAACAAGCTTTCCAATCTTCAATTGTTTGCCATCACATCTACCTCTGCAAGTTACATAGTCAAACTTTCAGTTCTCCATACCAGACAAACACACACACACACACACACACACACACAGAGCGCGATTAGATTCTCAGTCCCATCCGAGCAAAGAATAAAAGAGACAAATTCCAAACCCGCAAATTACATATATACATGTATTTGTGTGTATGGTTTGAGAGAGAGAGAGA